AGCAAGTTCCTTAATTCAGCACTGAGCTGATCGTTCTAAACTGGGCGAAAATACGTCATCAATGAGTTCAGCAGTAAGTTTAGGAACTTGGTCATGATTTTCTTTTTGGTGTTTAAAAGAGGTAAATGTTTTTATTTAAAGGTAAGAAACAAGTTTACCAAAACAAAATATGCATGAAAATATATTTGTTTTCAGTAACTATTGAACGAACTCTCTTTAAACACCGAATAAACTATTAATTCAGACAGGCTACTATGTGCTGGAAACGAGTTCTAGTACGGTTTTAGCAGATAATTATTTATTCTGAATAAAAAAATCTGGTGTGCGCAAAACACAACTTTCACTTACTGCTCTACTTTGAATAGAAATTATTTTTTGGCAATGTTGGGCTATCATACAATTTTTGAAGAGCAATTTAAATGGAGCTAAAGCTTAAAGCTAACAGATAACAAATCGTTAATACCATTAAAATTACAAAAACTCTATTTATTATCGACGGTAGACATCCATCTGCATTTATAAACCACATAACTTCAGTCTCTAAACCTTTCAGTTGACAGAATGACTAACTCCAATTTTAACATTTTTGAGTAATGTCATTTTAGTTGAAAAAGTTATATCGATACAGACAGTGAGTAAGTTGATTTTAGAGTAGGTGATTGCAGTGTTGAAATATTGAACTGTGAATAAAGGTATAAATTTTCACACTAGAAATATAACTAAAATTAATAATAAAAAATGTTGAAATTGGAGTTAAATCATTCTGTCAACTGTAAGGCTCATTTAATATTTAAATAACTATTATTCATATTGATTATACTTACTCAAGATATGAAGAAGTATAACACAAAAATGTTAAGCTGAGATATTTCAAAGCTAAGTAAATAACTCGAAATCGAACTTCATTAATGAAACATTGACTGGATTAAAAAAATAATTATCTTTACAAAAAATATAGTAATTCATTTGGTACCATTGATAATTTAAAGTTAGTTTAATAATTAGTAAATACAAAACTGTTGAGCCGAAACCTACTTCAAGAAAACTTATCAAAGACTAAACAGAAATAAAAACTCCAATTAAGCAGCAGATTGTGAGATAGTAAGGCACAACTGTCACTTTAACAAACATTTAGACTAGATATCACACATGAATGTTTTCTTTTTAAAACAGTTTTATTTTCTTTAAAATAATTAAAAATCTTAATGAAAATTACTATTGAAATGATTAGTTATTTCAATAGCATTCTAATGATTATTTTAAAAAATATTTTATGAAATTTTAAATCATAATATAGTAAAAATATATGAATAATTTAATAGTAATAAAAACAATATAGAGCACAACACCTTTTAGAAAAAATATAGAAAGAAAAACTGTATTTTTAACAAAACAAAAAATAAATACATACATAGTAAATAAATAATTGAAGAGCTCCTTTCCTATAATAAGGTTCTTACTAAAATTACTTTAACTTTTCAAGAATAAAAAAAAAAAACTTTAACCTTCGACCAGATTAACATATTTTAAGTGACAGTTAATAGCAAACATTAAATTAAACAATAAATAGTTTGAAAATTGACCTGCAGAATTCAGCACTAATCAGATGTTACACTGAAAAATGGATTTCTTAAGTTTAATCAATTAAAACTTTTTTAAAAGGAGTCCGTCCTTCAATTAATAATTTTATACCTAATTTATTTCAGCTATTGTGTTCCGTAAAAAGGATAAATAAAAAATATGATTATTATATTATTTAGAGATGGAGATATAGTTGACATTAAAATTATAAGGATGAAAAATAGTCCGGATATGCAGTCGTTAATGGTGTTTATTAATTTGGCTGACCTGTTGTTTATCATCAATCTCATGTATACATTTCAACTTTTCTTTTGTCTTAAACAAACCATTAGTAATAAAATTTAAAAAATATAAAATTATATAGATAAAAGTATGTAAATAAGTGAAGAAACAGATGTGATGTACTCATAAGTTAACAGTTATACAAACATAACAATATGGTAAGAAAACGTTTCTGTGTTATAGATAAATACAAAAAGTAAAAATCTGGTGTGGAGCGCGCATCACACAACTTTCACTTACCTCTTCTTAGCAGAAATTAGTATTTTCAGACAAAGTGAAGTGAAAGTAAAAGTTATAGACTATATTTATTTATATTTCATTGTAGGTATTTTTATTTGTATAAGTACCTTCATATATACAAATTTTGATATTTATATAGCTGTAATCTACACAATTAAATAGTAAATAATACCAACAATAGCATTTATGAAAACCACATATGTATATTACATGTAAAGATACCAATGTAAATAATCATTATATCTGACGACAAGTTTTCGTATGAAACTTTTCAAGAAAAGTATCACCCCCCGGCATCCGATACATATCCTGTCGTGGCAGGACAGTGCATATGCATGGTCTTGTCTTCTTCGGGCTTCTGTCGAGCAGTAGCTCTTGACAGTTCATCTTAGACTGTTCCTCTGACTTATTTAACCTGTTTCGTAGTCAGAAATTGGTGGATATGACATTATCTGGTAGTGCGTATGATGTAGTATCGAGTGATGATTCGATAATGAACAAACATTATTTATGTTCATCGAATTCATCTGAAACGGAGTTTGAGGAGGAATGTAAAGTGGACTTTGCTTATCCACAAGTGACTAAAGTCCCCGCCCAAGGATTTATTAAATGGGATCATTGCTGGGAGGCAGTAAAGGTAGGATCTACGAATTTCTATTATTATCGAGAGTATGTTTACAAGTATTTTATATTTTCGCTATTTTTTTTTACTTACATGTTTCCTCTTATTTCTTTTTTGCTCAAATTCGTATAAAACTGTATGAATATACACATACAGCCTTAACATCCCATGCTCTTGATTGAGGCATATTGTATTATTATTCTTCCAATAAAAGTTTTAAAAAAATATATATATATAATAGTGAATACCCAAATATCTATAAATTATATCTTGAAAATTATAATTACATGTAATAAATAAACTTTTTCTCATTTAATTTTCAATATTTAAAATTTACATCCCTAAAAATAACATTTTTTTACTGAAATAAATAGAAATAATAAAAACCTCGTCATATAAACGATACCAGAGTTCACTCCTACGATTACTGGCTATTAATGAGGACACAATAAACAGATAGAGACTCTCAATAGGGAATTCAGTTCATCTTTGTTGTCAAAAAATGGAGATATACCTGGAAACTGATGTATGTCTCCGACGACCGATGACGTTAAGAACTTCATAACTAGTGTCGGTCGCCATGGACCGATATCATTGAGAAAGACAATTAAGAGATATCATGCTCAGCAGCTGTGTTAATATTCCAAATATGCAGTGTTAAAACAGTTTGCGATGGTACTAAATAAACCTCTTAAATATATTAAAGTGAGGAAACTTATTTAATATTAGTGAGTTAAATATTCTATTTTAACACAGCCAGGAGTCTGTTAAAACTATTGAAAATTTTTTATACGTTATTAAATGACTTCCATCTTGTATTTACTGTTTTTTTTCTAATAGAAGTCATGTAAAAAAAGTTGTGTAAGAAATCTAGAGAATGTTGAACAATTGGACAACGTTGGATATGTTTACACAGTTGAGGAAAATCTGGTGAAGTTGGAAGGCAATGCTGTTGTTAATCATATGTCCTTATATATTTAAGGTTTTCCCATTTCATGTATTAAACAGTGTTCATATGGTACTAAGTAAACCTCTTAAATATGTTAAAGTTAAGAAACTTATTTAATATTAGTGTGTTAAACGCTCAATTTTAACACAGCCTGGGAACTGTTAAAACTATTGAAAATATCGTAAATGTGAGAGAAATGTTATTATATGACTTCCATTTTCTCTTAACTACTTTTTTAGAAGTAGAATGTCATGTAAGGAATCCAGAAAACGTTGGACGAAAGAGGTTGATATGTTTACACAGTTTAGGAAAACTTGTTGAAGTTAGAAGTCAATAATATTTTGTTTTTATTGTCAAATTTTCTTAAAAAAATAAAATTAAAATTCCTAGAAAATTGAAATCAATGAGTGAAACCCAAATTATCACAACTAACAAGATAGTATGAGGGGTCGTTCACTTAAGATTCATGAAAACGGTTTGACATCATAACACATTCAGCATTTATCACAAGTTACATGGATACACTTAGTAATTGTTTTCAAATATAATTTGTTGAAGTTTAGTCATTATGTATTTGATAATTAATATTTTTCCCTATGTCTGATAAAGAATTACAAATTTAACAACTTTAATTATTTAAAAAGACCTGAAACTAACTGTACCTCAACGATGTCTGACGACGTCCTGGAAATGTTTATCACAGCAAGTATAATCACAAACTAAACACGTAGGAAGGATTCCGTTTAAAATAAATTGTTGGCACTAAGCCTATAGCTAAAAATATCAATGAATGAACTAAATGTAAACTTTTTCGGCGGAAAGTGAAATAACTGTTAAAAATTAACAATTGCTTTATGAATTAACAGTCATATTTTTGCAAATAAATTTTTTGTAAATGTTCTACAATAACTTAATAGAAATGGGTTAATTAGTAACTTGTTATTTTTTATTAGCACATGTTAGCTGTTATTAATGAATAACAGACATTTCCTAAATAGCAAGTAGTTATTTAAATTAACAGTTAATTAGGGATAACTGTTAATAACTAACAGCTGTTCTGTCATTTTCTTAGCTGTTATTTTGAAATAACTGTTATTATTCGAACTGCCTGACATTTTGTTTTTGTTACAAACCTCTTTTATTTCCTGACTTTTCCACACACCCAGCCAGTTCAAAGAGAATAGGAGCTTAATTAAAGTACTTTCGCAGTAAAATTAACCATATCTCAAGTTTTAATATTGAAGGATTAGAATACTCAAATTTATCAACAATGATAAACATATATATTTAATTCTGGAAAAGGTTTAAGGCAAAATAAAAATAATATCCAAAATCAAAATTTATTTAATGGAGAATCACAGAGACTAATTAAGCCTAAAATTCAAAAGGATTTTTTCAGTCAGAATACTGATTATAACAACTAAAGCACGTCTTTTTAATATAAAAAAACATAACAAAATCCGTAACAATCTAATTTTAAAAAATAAATAATAATATTTAAAAAGATATTTATACTTGTCATGGTATTTTTGTACAAATGTTACCGATTATTTTCATGAATACGGCAAAACACTAGACCAGATTTTGCAGGTAACTTACACCGTTGACCGTTAGGGCGCACTGCTGAGCAAGTAATCTTCGTAGTTGAGCTACAAAACAAACAAATAAAATAAATTAATAGAGATTAAAATTTATTTTCAGTAAATCCTTGATTTTCTAAGCATTTGATTAACCCACTTTCAAACTAAACTAAAATTTAAATGTTGTTAATTATTAACAAAAAATAAATAATTTTTGAATATTTAATAATTGACCGTTGCATTATAAAGGAAGGAGATGGTCCAGGGTGGCGGTCATAAATAGGCTAAATAGTGGTAAAACTATTTTATTAAAAGCCAACGTTTTGAACGGACTTTGCAAGTCTTCTTCAGAGAGGTGTGTTCAGCTAGGAGTTTCACTTGGATAACTCAGTTCCAAGTGAAACTCTTAGCTGAACACACCTCCCAGAAGAAGACCTGCAAAGTCGGGTCGAAACGTTGGCTTTTAATAAAATAGTTTTACCACTATTTAGCCTAAATAATTTTTATAAATTCGTAACAAAAATTTTATCAGAAATATTTGAGATTATAACATAATTATTATAGTGTTAGATCATGAGATATAAACATATATCTAATCAGTTTTAAATGGACCTTAGTTTATTAAACATGACAGTTGACAACTTCAATCTTTCTGCATGAAATTTTTATCAATGCAGTATTCAAAAAGCTGAACTTGAAAAAAAAAATATCTACATATCATTGATCAAAAAGTGAACTATATATGTAAGTACAAAACTTCTAAATTTTAAATCAAATTTTATTTTAATCTGTAATTAACTTCAAATATCTTTTCCGTTTTTTGTTAAATTGCAATGCATTGGTTACTATTGGTTGATAAAGATATATACTTTTTATAAACACATTGACTGTCGATTTTTGGGATAACTCATAGTTAGTATTCTTGCATAACACATTAACTACGAATTACCTCATAGGTTTTGTTAGATTAACATATTTTTGTAACTATGATGAAATTCGTAATGCTTTTTGATTATTACTATTTACTAATATCAGAATTCTTAATAGTGAAATATGAATACATTAACTTTTTGGATTGAAATCCTGAAAAGTATCAGGGCAGTCAACAGATTAATGCACACTATATTACCCACATTTTTTAATTATTTGTTCTTTTTGAAACATTAATTTTCTGTAATCAGTTAATTATATTTATTTTCCTGAGGAATGTTCTTGTATCATTATGGAAGGATTGTATACAAAAGAAAAGTTCCAATAAAAAATCATATTTACCTCCCTCCTACCGAACTAACAGGTGATGCATTTCTCTTTCGAGCTCTCGTACTCACACCAGATACGATTGACATCTGGTCATCTTGTAATAGTGCAGTGCCCTAGATAACAAATGAACATAAGAATTTCTCATAATATAATCAGTCAGATGTGAATAAAATTTTTTAACAAGATTAAAATCTTTAAACAATATATTACATTATTTCTATAATAAAGATTATATAAATTAAAATTACCTTAGTCGTAAGAGGAGTCATGGTCGTTAAAGAACCATTTCTCATACCATAAATGTCACGGTCAGAAAACTTTTCTAAAAATCAATTCAAATTTCACTTTCAAAAATTAGCATATTGAAGCCTCAAAACAGTGTAAAAAAGTTATTTTTACCTGTCAGCCATTCATCGACCTTAGATTGTGGCTTTTTGAAACCGTTAAGTTCTCTTTCCTGCATAGTGTGGTCATCCTTTCTACTAATCATCAACAATTTTTTAGGTTTGTGATTCTTATCATTAATCAGCCTGAGGATTTGTACGATTGTAGTATCAACTAAAAGAGACATTATCATACATTTCAAAAGAAAAATGACTAATTATTTCAGTTATCAAGTTGAAATATTACTACACAAGTCAAAAAAATTTTAAATGTGTTTCTAGATTAAGTTTTTTATATTAATTTTAATTGTTGAATAGAATTCAATGAAATTGATACTAGGGGATTTCTACACTATTCTTCGCATTTCCTTCAACTTTGGGTCAAATTGAACCTGCATTTTTCAAACTATAGTCATGTTAAAAATAAACATTTTAAGATCCGAAAGCAGAAGTATTTTCTGAAACTAGAGGATGAAATTAATATCTACTTGATCATTTATTTATCAATCCCTAACCTCCCTCAAACTTTGAGCTAAATCGAATGCGGTTTTTACTTTCACTTAGCCTATCCATGAAATATATAGTAAAGAAAAGTATTGCGATTGTGATAATTTTAGAATCTCAGTTTTCGACGGAATTATACGTTTTGAGGTCCCCTGAGTCGAAATAACCAATTCCCGCAAAATGGTCTGTGTGTGTGTGTATGTGTGTTAACAGTAGCTCAAAAATGAAAAGTCGTATGAAAGCGAAATTGTATATTTAAAGTTTTTATATGCCTGGGATGTTACTGCAACTTTCTAGTCAAAATCAGCTAACCAGAAGTGGCATTTTATATCATCGATTCAACACATTTTTACAATTGACTCGTAACAATTTTGATTAAATTCATTACATCAGTATAAAATTAAGTATTTTTAATATATTTTGATTTTATTCTCATTGATGTGAAACTCTAACAGAGCTTTAATTGCACATTTGCAATATTAGCTTCCCCTAAATACAGCGTGCAGAGCCCTCTTAACTTAAAATGCCCTTGGGCAATAAAAGGAAAGTTGAAAATTTATGTATATATACATTTATATACACACTGAATTTATTCAAGAAATTCCTGGAGGGTAGGAAAAAAAAAAAAAAAAAAAAAATAGCTTCCCCTAAAGTAATTTTCATTTTTTTTATTTGAAACAATTAACCATCTCACATTGATCTCTGATATAAAAAATAGTTAAATATAAAATATGAACGAATTTGATAATTAACTAAAGGAATAATAATTGGTAAATGGTTGACTGTCGTGGATAATGAAGAGAAGAATAGTTGGGGTGGTCAGTCAAAAAAGAAGGCAAAAATAAATGATAATATTTATTTTTACATATACCGACGTTTCGACCTGAAGATCAGGCCATCATCAGGGCTGACTGCTCTGAAGTAAATCGAAGCAATAAAAAAAATTTACTTCAGAGCAGTCAGCCCTCATGATGATGGCCTGAACTTCAGATCGAAACGTCGGCACATGTAAAAATAAATATTATCATTTATTTTTGCCTTCTTTTTTGACTGACCACCCCAACTATTCTTCTCTTCATTAACTAAAGGAAAAATAAGAGATCGTAACGGAGAATAATTTTAATGGAGGGACCTAACGAATATGAGCGGACCCAGACTCACTTGAAAAATTATGCTTAATATAATATGAACTCCGACAATACATCTAGAAAATAATTAATTTCTGGAAAGTCTTGAATAATTTTATAATAAAATCAATGATTAAACAACATGACAACATAAGTTTTGTTTATTATTTATTTGATAGTTTGTTAACGAACAGGTGAGAAAAAAAAACTTTTTAAAAATTATATAATGACCTATAGTAGTAACAGTCTTCTGCCATCATAATTCTAAAAGTGTGAAGGAAATAGATGTTTTAAAGCAAACTACTACAACTGAACTTTTAAATTTAAAGAAAATCTAAACTCAAAACTAAATTCATATGTTAGGCAATCAGTTTTCATAAATAATGAGAAATGAGGTCAATAGATAAAAAATAATTAGAATCACCTATCACAGCTCCGGCTAAAATTAAGTACAAATCTAAAAGGCGAAGGGAGTAAGGCATATTGTTAATTGAAAGATATGTATTGAGAAAGCCTGCAGTCACAACAAGCACTTTCAATCTCCGATGGAACTCGAGAAAGCTGCTGATGACCATAGCTGTGAGGAGACAGAGCATATGAAGAGAAATGAAGACAGCTTTATCAAAATTCTCACCTAGTATAAACAAACAAAAAAATTAGAATTAGAATTACAAATATTAACAATATAAACAGTATTTAGGTAATATAATTGAGGTAATTTCGTCGCGGCGAATCAAATGGGCTTGTAAAGTTGTTGGGCTTAGTAACGAGAGAATTCCTAAAAGATTAATATTTGCTGTGCTGAATCGTAAGCGTCCGAGGGGTAGACCGAAGCGAAGGTGGGAAGATTGCATTAAAGCCGATCTGAAGGGACTGGGTTTGGACGGCGAACGGTGGAGGGAGGTGTGTAATAAGCGATTGGTGGTGTCGGCATCGAACCTTCGGGTTAGCTAAGCTTTTTATTATTATTATTAGGTAATATCTCCAATAACACAATTCTTCTTTAATACAAATAATAAACCAGTTGTGTAAATATGAAATCAGAATTCCATTAGCACTGTTAGCCTAACCTTACTGCGGTCTCTAATGATAAGAAGGTTTCCCAACTATAGTATAGACCATATCCATAATTAGAAATAGAAAATAAACTTTATTCTGGGACGATGTCCCCTTAGAATAACAATAATGTAACTTAGTCAAAGTTTGAATTTCCTCCCTTCAAGAGTCTTACCGTTGTAAGTTCGTTTTTATATCTTAGCTAGGAAACACTGCCAGTTTCCGCCCAATACTTTATTATTTGTTCACATTTTTATGCAAAAAACGTATATTTTCTATATGAAAATTTCAGTTTCATAATGTTTAAATTTATATTTCATTAATATTTAAACATGAGGTGAATTTGGAATAATATAATAATAATGCTTTATTTATTCTAGGATGAGTCCCTTTAGAATAATACAGAGAGACAAAAATGTGGAGGAGCTTGAGAGATATATAAATAAGGAGCCTCAGAGATACATAAATAAGAGTATAGTTTGTTTAAATAGTCAAAAAATAAATGAATAAAAAAAAAATAATAAGAGAAATTATAAGTTACTTTCTAATTAGTTGGGCGGGGTGGCCGAATGGGCTAACGCGTGTGCACTGCACCGCCGTTGCACGGAAACCTGATACATAAGACTTTGATAAAAAAATAGTCACGAGTTCGCGTCCCGGTGCCCGGAGGAGTTTTTAAATCCCCGCCCACACTCCCTGGCCCGGGAAAACCCTCGTAAGTTACTTTCTAATTTAAATCAGTTAACAATAAAAAATTGAAAATAAACATGAAGTAAAAATAATAAAGAACGATCTAATAATTTATATACATATTTACAGTAGTAACTATTTACAATTTTATGAGGACTGGATGGATGAGAAATGATTAAACAGTTGGGATTTAAAGGCAGGAAGGGTTTTGGATTGACAAATGTGGGGAGGGATGGAGTTCCATAGGGAAGAGGATCGAATAATAATAAAAGATTTATCGAAAGCAGCAGTTGGGTGGGCCATTATATATAAATCTGAAGACCGGGAACGGGTACTGCGGGAGTGGACAGAGGATTTAAATTGAAGGAGCTCGACGATGTATGAAGGACGGCGGGAGTGAATTACTTGGGAGAGGAGGGATGTCAGGAAATACTTACGATGGTAGGAAGGATAAAGCCACTACAACTCTTCATAGAAACAGGAAACAGAGGTGTCTCTTGGGATCCCGAAGATGAATCGTACAAAGCAATTTATCAAACGTTTTAGTTTTGCCTTGAGATCCCCAAAGACGCCTCCATATACCGTGCAACAATAGTCGAAGTGGGGAAATATTAAGGTGACCAGGAGTCTACGGATGTCAAAAGGAAAAACGTGTCACAGGCTATTTAAGTGTTTTAGGGTGGAAAAGGTATATCGGGAGATATTGGACACATGGTTTTTCCAGGGAAGGGTTTGATCAAAGATTATTCCAAGGTTTTTGATGGTGGGATAAAATTTAATGGGATTATCATGTAGGGACAGGGTTGGAAAGTTAGGAACAGTTTTGATGAGGTGATTGGAGCCTATTAGGATTGCCTTCGTCTTTTCCGCATTCAACTTCAGCTTGTTAGCTCCTGCCCAGTCATATATTCTATTTAAATTATAAAATTATATAATATAAAAAAAAAACTGTACAGCTAACAACCTATGAAGGGTCTTGGGTTCAGTACAATGTGAGGAAGTACTGTTACAAGGCCAACGGTTGTGAAGGGAGGTAATCAGTCCGAGATCACACTCAACCGTCAGGTTTTTCTCCCTTAAACATTATTTAATTAAGGGTAATCACTTTAAAGAGGTTGGATGTGCCCCAGGCTCGATTCACAGCTGATGAAAAATAATTAGTCATCAGCTGGATTCGAACCTGGAACCTTGATGAGCTCTGTCAATGCTTACCCACTACTAATATATAAGCAATAAACTAAATCGAATATAAGGTTATCTCAAGTGTCTTAATTGTTAACAAGTTATACATAAAAATGGCTATGTACCAGTCTCTCCGATAAGTGCAGAAACAAAAGACATTTTCTGTTCAGCGAGATGCTTCAATGCATTAGCACTGGACGATATTTCATTGATAGATTTGCTGAGTTCTTTCAAGTCAGAGAACAAGCTTTTAGACTTCAATGAGTATTGATTATTGTGGCTGTCCAATATTGTGCTAACTGTATCTATAAAATAAATAAAAACAGTTAAGAATGATATCAAAAAATTCTTAACATAAAAACAAATAATATAAAAACGTACTAATTTTGTGAATTATACTGTCGATTGCTGTTGACGAATCTTGTAGTCCAGCCATTAATTTTTCATGCTGAGTCGATTCTTCTTTCTTCTGATTTAATAATTCTTTACCACTATCATCTGAATTAAACAAACAAAAAAATACATTTGTCAGTCAACGGTAAGAAAAAAAAAATTATTCTGGGTTACGTTGATATAATAAAAAATCTGAAGTTGATCAGCTGAGTTATCCAGGACAATGGCCAGCAAACTCTGGCTCATAAATAAACTCTTTGGCCAGTTATAAGTATGGCTCTTCCAGACAGCATTATAACTCAGACATCTTTTAATTCTTACAACAAGAAACAACCGTTCTTATCAAGTATTAAAAAAAAAGTTATAAAAAAAATGAACAAAATGAGTCATTGAATAAAATCCTAAAATTTTCATTTTAGTTCTTTTTTTTTATTCAATGATATAAGATTAAATGATTGAAAAACTTAATAACATTTAATATCCTCTCTCTGCCCAAAATTGCTTAGTGTTTGGAAGATTATCTGATGAGCTGGATATATTTTGTTTTTTAGCCTTATAAAGATTTTTTTCCTGGAAAATCAAGTTATTTTTTATTTAACTTGTTTTCAACTTGAAATAAGAACAACCAATCTATTGGCAGTTAAACAGAACAAGGTATACAATGAAATATACTGATTAATGACTACAATAGAATATGTTTCTAATATCACTCTTCTGATATCTGGAAGTCCAAAAAGATGAGATACATATTAAAAGACAATTTAAAAAAACAAAACAAATTTTTGGCTGAAAACAGCTATACTTCCTTAATCAAAGGGAATAAAAATGAATCGTTTATTTAAAAAAAAAAATGTAAAAAATTACCTAAAGCTTTCTTGAAATCTTTCAGGATGGTATCAATGCTCTCAGCTTCTTTGGTGACCAACTTCCCAATCTCTTCGAGGCCGGACTTATCTTTTTCTAGTGCTGTTCCGAGCCCAGATTCAAGCCTTCTCAATCGAGTGTAACTAGCCAAAACATCATGCTGACTTTGAGAGATACGATCAAGAGCGATTTGGGTCGCCCTCTCTAATTTAGACTGTCGCTCCTGCAATAAAAAAACGCTGTAAATTATTTCACAATGGTTTATTATTTCCAAACAACTATACATCTAAAGTAACATTACCTTCCTAGTTACAAAGAGAAATAAATAAAAGGTGATTCCAATTTTTGGACTAAACTTATTTTTAATCATTAGTAATATACTAAAAAAAAATAGCATTACTTCAGTAACACATTCAAAATTTAAAAACCAAAAAAAGGATATAACATTTGGAGTAGATCATATAAAAAAAACTGGAGACCATATCTTTGCTCCTAATTGTCTGATTTTAACATTTTTTTTTTTTTGATTTTTAGGAAATTCCGTAAACTTTTAAAAAACCTTATACAATATCGACAAACAAGTATATTCCTTCTGAGTTATTCAGAATTAAATTTTACTATCCCTCGTAACTTTAGCTTCTTTTTGTTGAAGTATGTTATATAGATAAATTTAAAGTGCGTCAAGAAAATGACTTTAGCGAAGTTTCATTGAAATCAGTACATTCGTTTAAGAGCTACAGTCTACAATGCAGGTTTTTCGGCTTCCATTTTGAAAGTAAAAGGCAGATATTAATGTTGATGAAGGAGGATCATCCTTGGGTGAACTCTGATTTTATATCCGAATTTGAAAAAAATCGGTCTAGAAAATGCGCATACGGTGAACAGACAAAAAAAATTTTATTCGTTTTCAAATTCTACGCATCCTGAAACGTGAAACCTCAAATTCTGAGAGGGGGTTAAGTTTTTAAATTTTTTGATCGATCACAATGGTTGATAATTGGTAATTGGTTGACTGTCTTGGATAATGAAGAGAAGAATAGTTGGGGTGGTCAGTCAAAAAGGAAGGCAAAAATAAATGATAATATTTATTTTTTACATATGCCGACGTTTCGACCTGAAGTTCAGGCCTTCATCAGGACTAAGAAAATAACCAGATAACAAGATATGAGAAACATAAGTAATGATGGTAAAAAAATAACAAAAAAAAAAATAGAAAAATAAAATAAATAAATATAAAGTAAAATGAAATTGTCAGAATAATGACTAAGAACTAAGAGATAAATAATAATAACCGTTACAAAGTGTAGAATGATGAAGTAGGCATAATCAAAAAAGGTGACATAAGTGTTACAATGGGAATCTTAGAATAAAATGTAAAACATAAAAAATAAATATGAAGTTATATAAGAAACGAAAATAAATAGTAAAATTAAAACATTGAGAATGGAGTAGTTAGATAGAAAATTGAGATATTGTAAAGTCTATCAAGATGTACAGACAATGTATAATATAATAAAGAGTTAAAAACAGAGAAAAGGAATGAAAGGAAGGAGGGAAGAAATTGAGAAAGCTGAAATAACAAAGAAATAAAAGAAGTACTACCTGTCTTCTTAAGTGTTGCAGGGAGAATAAAAGTCGTTACAAGGGAGGGGGAGACCCAGTAATACCCATTTGCTTTCCACTTGAATATAAGATAACTTGAGGACAGTCAAGAAAAAAAGATGGCCTTCAAAAATATTGAGCCATTTGTTGTGACCTACATCCACAAATTGTCAAAATAACGAGGTTATATATGCCAAACATCCAATATTTTTGTAGGCCATCTTTTTTTATTGATTTTGTGATCAAATTATCTTATGATCCAAGTGGAAAGCAAAATGGTATTTACGAGTTTTTAGTACCTAATTAAATAGACTAAGTTTGCAGACCTCCAGATTGAAAATTCCCCAATTCCGAGAATTTTCATAAATAAAATATTTGTAGGTTACGATGAGCTAAAGCCATTTCAAGATTCAACCGGATGTTAATAATATGATACAAAGTGGTCTGTACCACGGACTATTACAGTGAGGTAAGATCACATTTACATTATATGTTTAAAAAATTAAAGGTGAAATATTTCATAAATCATGTAGTCTATAGTAGAGGCTCCTTTTAATCACATTATTAACACTAGCCCAAAACTTCATGAATGACTTTATTTGACCATAATCTATAACTTTTTAATCTACAAAAATCACCCATCACACGACTTTCACTTACCACTTTCTTTTTAGCAGAAATAAGAATTTATGATCAAGGCGAAGTGAAAGTAAAAATTATAGACACTATATTTATTTACATTTCTATACTTATATATATATATTTTAATTTTCATATCGCTGTAATCTATACAATTAAATATTAAATAATGCCAATGATAGCATTTATGAAAATCACATATGTATATGTACATAATATTGTCAGAGTCCGTATTATATTAAGCTCAATTTATTATGGAATATTTCATAAACATACAGGACATTAAAAAATCTTACATGCAAGTTTGCCATCTGCTCTATGTGAGTTCTGGCCGTAGCAACGAGGCGGTTGACAGTCATCTCAGCGAGGGCCCTGAACTCTTCCTGCCTGGCAGCGTAGCACACGGCTCTAGCTCGGTTGCTCATGATGTGGTACGCATTCCAAGTTTCAGCATCCATATCACTCGTACACGCTTTCAGACTCTGAAAAACGTTTTTAAGCTCATGTCGTAATAGTCGATGAGAGACAATACCTTTAATGAGAATCATGAGAGAGAAAAAATGCCAAATTTTCACTTAACACGTCTAAATTTAGAAGACTCATGTCCCTCGGTAGAGAGGGAGAGATTCTCTTATTTAGAACGTTTGATTAAGGCTAGATAAGTATAAACTATTACTAAAAACTACTACTATAACTGTTATTATTATTGCTTATTTAATAATTGAGGAGTATATATGAATCTACTTAACAAAAAATGAAAGTTATTACAATGAGAAGAATAAATTTTAAAAAAAAATTATAATTTAATAAATACCAATAGGCTTGACAACAAATAGTCCGTGGTACAGGCCCCTCTTTATCAAATTATTAACGAAAATTCTTGGAATTGGGGCGATTTAAACCTAGAGGTCGGCAAATTTTGCCTATTTAATTAGGTACTAAAAACTAGTAAATACCCATTTGTTTTCCACTTGAATCATAACATAACTTGAGCACAAAGTCGAAAATAGAGGTGGCCTTAAAAAATATTGATAGGCATGACCTACACCCCAAATTATCAAAATAATGAGGCCAATAAGACAAAGGGCCCAATATTTTATAAGGGCATCTTTTTTGTCGATTTTGTGATCAAATTACCCAAGGATCCGAGTGGAAAGCAAATGGGTATTCATGAGTTTTTTTAACCTAATTAAATAGGGAAAGTTTGCCAACCTCCAGATTGAAATCGTCCTAATTCCGAGAATTTCGTAAATAAAATATTTATAGGTTACAATGAGATGAAGCTATTTACAAAGTTTCAGGCAGATGTTAATAATTTGATAAAAAGTGGTCTGTACCACAGACTATAAGTAATTGAAGATTTTTGAGAAAAATAAATTATTTTTTTAATCTTTAGCTAATAAAATATATTTAATCTGTAATATATTGTCTATTTTTATCAATGAATCTTTTTATCTTTCAGGCAGCATCAGTATTCCAAATCTGTAAAAAAATTGATTTTTAGCTCCAAAAAAAAAAAATGATCCAAGCTTGTTTTAACATCATCATCATTGATAAATTGTTTGCCATTCAAAAAGTTCTGCAAAGAACGAAATAAATGATAATCAGAAGGAGTGAGGTCTGGAGTGTACGGTGGATGTGGCGATGTGTTTGGCCTTGCATTGTCATGATGGATACCCCTACGCAACACCCCTCTGGTTAACCAACTCATTCTGTTTTTTGGTAAATTGCCTGGTTGCGTGGTTAAAGTTCAAAATGGACAATGTCCTTGTAATCCCACTAAACTAATAGCAAAACCTTTAATTAGTGAATATAAGGTTTGAATGTTGTTTGTACCAACTCTTTTCCCTTGCTCCATGATCTTTTTCTTTAAGTTTACATAGATAACACGGTTATTTAAGTCACCTACCAGTAAAATCCGCAATAATTTAGTCGCCAACCTTATATAATGGGTTCTACAAGTGTTGTTCTACTTAGATGTGTGGGTACGAGATCACACTATAAGTAGAAGTTATATCCGTTAACCGTCAATATTCAGCCATTCTACGAATTCTAGTTATAGTGTTATCATGTGATCTTGTGCTAATCCAACTAAATAGATAAGTAATACTCTATAATTACCACTACCAAATGAAATAAATTTCATAAATATCTACAATCAATAAATTATCTTTATTTTCCATAAAAAATGGATGAGATGGAGATTACAGTTTATGGCAAGTAACCTTAAACATTCTAAAATAAGCATCTTCTCTCTATTCTACCACCCAACTTAATTCTCTTAAGCATTAACCAAAATAAATACAATGGAGAGAATGTTTTAGAAAAACCAAAAATCATATTTTATATATATGTCAGTGCACAAATAATTATCTCATTAATTTTTAATTTGACGAAGAATGATATGTTAAGTGAGAGAAAAATAAAAATAATTTCACAATTTAGACTCATGGTATGAAGCGAGTGCAAATATGTTGCTTTGATCACTTAATCCAATTTAGAAAGATTTTGTTTACTAAATTACTCTTTTTTATTGACAGATGATTAAACTCTACTAAATTTAATAAGTCATAAGACGTGTATGGTATATCTTCAATGGATAATATAATAAAAAAAGATGGAACTAAATTTTCTTATTATTTTAACATTACCTATTTTTTTTTTTTTTTTTTATCATTTCTCATTGTTTTTTAATAAGTAAATAGAAAAGTTCCTTTTCCAATTTATATTAAATGAACTGCTTTGAAAGGTTTTAGATGAAATTAAATGATTTATTTGTTGTTTATGTCATTAATAATTATATTTTATGCAATAAATCTTGTTCGACCTTCTATTACATCTTACATTACCAAATCATTATTAATTAAAGAATTATAGAAAAAATAGACAAAATATTTTAGTTACTTTTCTGCTTCAAATTTTATATTGTTTTATAAAATAGGCAATATATAGTACATTTGAGAGGTTACATATTTAAAAACTACTTGATGAATAGTTTATATTTTTTTATTGAATGTAAATCCAGTTTATGTTAATTTATTATACAATAGTGCACCTATTTTAATGAATAACATGTAGGCATTATGAATATTAAAATGAACCTGATTTAATTCGCTAATAATAATATTCTATAATTCAACATCTTAGAATTTTAAATTAATTTTAATTTTCCTTCAGTAATGACAGGTATTTGCTGATAAATGTTTACTTCAATTCAAAGTAAACAAACTTGTTTTGTTTAGATAATAATGTTTGATAATTTGTGAAGGTTTAAACAGATTTTTATTATGTAATTCATATAGTTTCATTTCATTTTTGTAATATAAGTAAATTTTAATGAAAAATAATATAAAAATTGACACTATGTAATAACATGTTTATCTTATTTCCAGCAGTTAGTATGTTATCTAATTTTTAGAAATAAAATGACATTACCATTTCTTCAGTACATGGAAATGTTTTTCGCCCTTCAACATCTGCTTGACAATTCAAAAGGTTAACAGAAAGTTTAGCGATTTCTTCATCTGAAAGTGTGCCACAAGATGCCTTGATTTTCATTACAATCTGCTTAAACAGAGAATCGAATAAACAATGATATTGGGAAAAAGTCTTATAATTACTTGGATATAATATAAATACATATATAAAATGATAATTTATACAACAACTAATAGAAATTCTTAAAATGATAAAACTATATTCAATGAATAATGGTTATAAAAAAGTAAACTTCAGAGATAACAATAATAAAGCATTGCCTCCTTGAAAATACTTTTGCAACGTTTCTGATAAATAACGCAAAACAGGAAGACCATAATTTAACAAATAACGAATTAAAGGCTTAGGATTCCAATCCATGTCAGTTTGTGTGGAAATTAACGAGCTGACATGGCAGCAAACAGGGTTCAGGAAGAGCAAAACTACATAGTGAACGGCAAAGAACGGAAAATTGATATATATATATAAAAATAAAACATTGAGAATAAGCCATGGTCATACAAATCACAACTTACCACTAATTAAATTTTTAAAAAATGATAAATAACTTATCTAACAGAAATGTTACAGGAGAAAATATAATTTCATTCAAAATCATAACGCTTTCCTCCAAGGGCTGGCAGATTCCGACAGAGATATGATTCAGCATATATGCAAATTAGACTTCTAAAAAATTTACATCAATACCCTCAATATTTATTTTGATAATACTACAATATGGATATTATAAGATGTTAATGAAAGTCATAGGAAAAAAAAATTATAACTGAAGAAAAATTCTAATCTATAGAACCACGCTCCCCCCCAAATATCAGTTGACACCATTGCTAAAAATAAACTCACTTTTTTAAACTAAATTAGAATATTCTGAAAACTTTAAACATATAAAATAGCGTTACCTGTCATAAGTGTATGCAAATTTTACCAACAGAAACTGACAGAACAATTTCTAAGTGGAGTAATTCAATTTAAATTCTAAAATATTAAGTATTGATACTTACTTTATGCTGACAGACATCTAGCTGGGAGAGGTTGAGGCCAGTAATTTTACTAGCCTCGACCAGAAATTTGTCTTCAGGGCCTAACTCTTCAAAGGGTATTTCCAAAAGTGGTGTAGAGGAACCTATGAACTGGGGGGCAGATCCCCATCCCAACCAGTCCAGTAAATGTGATGCACATTGTTGCCTCAATAACAATCCTAATAGTATTAATTTACTTAAACCCATGGTTTATAAGAAAATAAAATTACAAGCATTTTGGTAACTAAGGTTCAGCTAATCTTTTCAACTGTTGACATTTTGTGTCACAGCCAACTGATCCCGCCAAAATTTAATCCCGTTTTAAAAACTATATCTTAACAATAAAAACAATGCATTGTGAGTTTTAAAAAAGTTTGTATTAAATACACAATAAATATTTATCGGCATAATTTAAAGGAAATAAATAATTTATCATATCTAAGAAGGAACTTAACAACTAACCCACGACGATCAATGAACCCTCTGTTAACACCTAAATGCAAAGAGATCCAAAAGCTATTCTAGTATAACATTGGGAAATTTAAAATTGTGGTCAATTTTTGTGACGTAGAAAGAAGTATTTAACATGAGGCGAAATCTTTTAGGAACCATGCCTCATTGGTTAGGAAGTGTAACACCCAACTCCTTAAATTCATTACTTATGAGCAAACACAATATATAATAAACGGTAAATAAATAACTGAAGAGAAGAATAGTTGGGGTGATCAGTTAAATAAGAAGGCAAAATAAATGATAATATTTATTTTGTCATTTGCCGACGTTTCGACCTGAAGTTCAGGCCATCATCAGGGCTGAGTGCTCTGAAGTAAATCGAAGCAATCAAAAAAATTTACTTCAGAGTAGTCAGCCCTAATGATGGCCTGAACTTCAGGTCGAAACGTCGGCAAATGACAAAATAAATATGGTCATTTATTTTGCCTTCTTATTTGACTGATCACCCCAACTATTCTTCTCTTCATTATTCACGACAGTCAACTATTTAACCACTATTATGAAGAGAAGGATGGTTGGGATGATCAGTCAAATTGAAATAGTAAAAAATAAATAATTTTATTATAGTTTTATAATATGATGATGAGTTTTCATGTAGAAATATTTAAAATATTCTTCTTTTCTTTTTTACCATTTCAATTTGACAGATCATCCCAACTATAACCTTCTCTTCGATTATTCACTACAGTCAACCATAAACCCACAATTGTAAATAAGTAACAATTTCTGTTCTATTGGCATTATATACTTTGTAGATCCTTTGTCGCTTTATCCAATATTTTCCCTCTGCCTATCTTGGACGATTTTTTTTCAGTTATCTGCATACAGCCCTACACAATCTTTGTTGATGTTGATTTGATATATCCATCTGGTTTTTGGTCTTCAAGGTGATCTCTTTCCTACTAATGAGGCATTAATTGTTGCGAAGGTGCTTCCTGGTGGATTGTCTTATTCATTGTAACCTCCTTGTCTTAATACCAAGATATATTGATTGACCCGTTTCTTTATTGAAACTTCTCATACATGCGTTAATACTCTTGAATCCGGATTGCTCTGGTTATCGTACGGAGGATTTTTCTTTCAGATCTTCTTTCCAGAGTGTTCATTAGGATATAGGTCTTAAATTTAAGATTTTTTGGTATTTTAATACCTATAAAAGAGAGAGCAAACTTCGTGTGCATTACTGGTAAGTTGCCCTATACACTGATAGACGACGAGTTTTTATGCAGAAATATTTATTTATTTATTCTGGTAATAGGAAGGAAGAAATTGACAGAACGAGTGGATTGAGGTGATTTTTTTAAATTTATGATATTTAGAACTGTATTAAGAAAGAATAGATTAAGTAAATGTGATAACGGAAAATAAAAACATGAAAACACTTGTTGAGAAACTATCCACTGGTAGCACTCTAAAAAAAAAGAAAGTATTTACAATAGAAGATCTCGAGGCCATCATCTTTTCAGATGCCTCAGAGGGTTATCAGGGATCTAATAAGAAGCAAGGTTAGAAACTAGAGGGTTCGGATGGTTCTGAAGTTTATTATGGAAGGATAGGTATCTGGATCGGGCCAATTCCGAAACATAAGGAACATTAAGTTCGTTATGGATGATTTTATTAGTGACAAAGTAAGGAGCGTTGAGGATTTTGGATTGTAAATATTGGATGCGAGAGGAATTCGATGGCTTTGTGGACCCCCAAATAAGGTAATTTTGTGTTGAAGAGTGAAATGTGTATTTGTCGTGGATATAGGATTTAGAAAGGAGTTTAGGGCCGTACAGTGGAACGAAAGAATCTTTTGGGGGACAAAATTCCGTAAAAGACAAACAATGTGAGATCGTAAACAGTTAATGATTGATTTTTATAGCTCTGTTCGTGCTGAATCGATTTATTCATGAAACGTGTTCGTCCGACCAATTCTTCATGATAATTTAAAGACTTAACTAAAATATAAAAAAATTCTTAATTTTTCATTTAAGTAAAATAAACTAATTGTTAAATATTGGTTGTGTATTTATATTATAGTTCTAGACGTGTTTTATTAAAATATTCATAACCTTCTGTAGAAGATTCATTAGACTTTTTTTTTTTGGTACTACTACTCCCAAATATATTTGTTCGTTCCCTCGACAAATCCTAAATAAAATCAGTTCAACCAGTAATTATAAACGAGATTTGTTTCTGGAACATGTATCCCATTATAGATTAAATTTATTTTAAAATATTAAAGAAAGCAGTTATTCAATAATTTTAAATTATAAACACTAAAAATTTCGGCTGTAAATCTCATACCACTTTTAAAATTTAGTTTCCATTAAATAATTGTACCTTATTTTAATATACAACCTATCACAATTAATTAAGGAAAAACAATCTGAAGAATTGGTTCAATTCAATTTAATCGTTCATAACTGAAACTATAGATTTTTAGAAAGAAAAGGTCCTAATAACTGAACCAATGGAACTCACTTTACACAAGGAGAAAATATAAATAGATTTCTAACACGTTTCACAACGATTAATGGCTGTAATTAAGTACTAAAATGATTTTATCAGAGTTTTCTCAGCAATTAAGTTAGAAAAAAATAACTAAAAAAAAATGTGACAAAGGCCTAAATTGTCTCTGAACATGTTTACTACTATGACAATATGATACTGAAATGGACGGTAGCTTCTGGCTGCAAAATAAGAAATTCATTAATTAAATAAAAAATATCTGGTGTGTCCACTCACACGACTTTCCTACCTATTTCAGAAAAGCTTTTATATCTTTACATATGTTCATGAAGAAATAAAAAAGAATTGAACTAGATTTATTTTCCTGAAAATTGATTAAAGAAAAAGATTTGAGTGCGATTTATTTGATAAACTAAAGCAATGTAAACCGGCTTAAGGTAGATCAGTGTAAAGATTTCAATACTCATTAATATTGCTGATCAAAAACTTTTTGCCATAGCTTAGTAGTGTCAAACAATAATTTCTGTTAAAAGTAGAGGAAATAGTGAAGATTGTGTGATGCGGGCAACAGATTTTCTTACTTTGACTTAGTCATCTTTATTAGTAGTTTTCGATAAAATCTTGGCACAGACAGACAGACAGACCAGTGGCTAAAAATGTGTTTTTTTGGACGCAGGGGGCTCTGAAACGTATAGATCCGTCAAAAACCGCATATCGTAAATTTGATCCGATTGCAATACTTTCCTTACCTAGTATAGGTAGGAAAGTAATAAGTTAAAACATGTGTAAAAGAAAAATAGAATAAGCTGTATCATCGCTAATACTGCTTCGATTCCGATGTTTTTTTTTTGTTTTTTTTTGGAAATTTAATTATCTTTCAAAAGTTTTTTTTATAAATTTTAAAGTATAATATATACTTAGGGAGTTAGCCCCCATAACATTTTTCTTTTTTTTATAACTTTTTTTCCTGATTTTTTTCGGAAATTTGGTCTATATATGAAAATTGAAAGAAAAATTATTAGAACATGATAGGAAAGTTTCATCAAAATCGTTGGAGCCGTTTTTGCGCTATAGTCTCTAGAAAAACATGTTATTCATTTATTGCGAGCATGGAGCACCGAATTTCTGTCACAGTCATCAGTAGTGCAAAATAAAAAAAGAAGCAACAAAATCGATTCAGTAGTTCCCGAGAAAATCTTGGCACAGACAGACCTATGTCTAAAAATGTGTTTTTCGGACTCAGGGGGCTCTGAAACGTATAGATCCGTCAAAAACCGCATATCGGAAATTTGATCCGATTGCAATACTTTCCTTACCTAGTATAGGTAGGAAAGTAATAAGTTAAAACATGTGTAAAAAAAATATAATAAGCTGTATCATCGCTAATACTGGAATTTGAAATATAATTTGGAATATAATTTCATCATGAGAAACATTTTTAAAATAAATATGCCTTGTACATTCGATGTAACCAGCTAAGAAGATATAAAAGTTTTCGAGAAAATAACATTCTTGAAAATTGGTATTTTATTGCTGATTTTAGCGTTTCCTTCCACTGCGCCAAGTAAAATTTCGTTTTAAATAAAAGTAATAACATTTTAATTTGAATTATATTCAAATGTCACATACATTAAAATATGGTTTAAAACTAAAAAAATAAAACAATAATGGTAAGGTTAACAATTCTTTTTATTTGCACAAGCCCATAATTTAAGAAAACATTGTCCACCTTAATTATTTGTTAAGTATATTTTTAGAAATTCCTCAATTCTTTTCGTTTTATTTTCAAATATATATTTTTTTTATTGGCATACTTCATGGGAATCTCTTGTTCTGGTACGTCCTGTAATAAAAAAATATAATGATACAGTTAAATATATCTATCCATTTACTTTGTAATTTTCTTAAATTAAAGAAAAATATTGTTTTGGAAAGTCTCATTTATTTATATTATACGTTACACGGAGCTTTCGGTAACTTGCACCATATTCATCGAAGTATTAATAATTATCCAATAATATATCAAATATCATAATTTTCTAATTGTCACACGAATTATGCAAAATCTATATACCTCTTTTTAAACTGAGTCCATCTATTTTTTTCTTCGTTCGATTACGATATTTCAAAATTTAGTCGTTGGTTTTTTTTCAAATCAGTACTGTTTTGTAGAGAGGAGGGTAGACATCAGAAGTACGAGATCAGGTGGGACAGGATTGGATGGAAGATTTAAATTT